AGTCTCCATGATTGATGCCGTGCGCAGCACATGGACGAAGCAAAAATATACCTGCTTGAAACAATTCGACAATGTTCAATTCTACGCTACACTTGCGAGTGTTTTAAATTCAATTCTATTGCAAGTACTTGTGAACTTACCCGTAAAAGCTGACAAAATTCAAGAAAATGTGCACCAATGAGGAGCTCACGCTGCACTCGGAATACTCCCACCAAGAAAACGACGCCGAGAAATATTGTCGATTCGGTTACTGTCGGTAAACTTCGGGTTTTCAATATTTATATTGAGTTATTGCCTCAGAATTAGATTTTTTCAAAAGAAATGTTGGCAGAGATGAATGACATCTCAAGTGCGTCAGTGATTTGAGAAATAACAGGACCGGCATATCACGAAATGTGAAGGAATCTCATTTTCCGAAAGTGTCCGACTAAGTGCCGATTATGGTCGAACTATCAATCGAGTGACCTCCGAACTCAGCGTCCCATATTGCCTACCGCCATTGCTCACTTCCGGAGAAAACGAAAACGGTAATGTTGCATTTGTGGTTATTTCGTATTTTGTTTTCATTATCACCCTGCATATCTGTGTAGTATGACTGCCACATGTTTGTCAGTGCTCAACAAAGATCAACATTTCAGGTTTATGAAGCATATTTTCAATTTATGCACTGTCCAAACGATGTGTTCACAATTATTATAATTTTTAATAGCGAATCTCCACTGACTCCTATAAATGAACATTTAGAAATGCCTGATGTTTTGTCCCACTAAGCCTGAGCAGGGAGCTGTATTGCCTGTGCCACTGACCCCCCCCCCCCCCAGTCCAAGCATGAAACCCTGTGCTGTGCTTCACAAAAATGAAACAAGTGGGCTTTTCTGAGATGAAGCTTATTACTTATTCAAATTTCAAGTCAAGCGAGAGTGAACTTTCTTCATAATAAAATAGGCATATGATCTCAAACTGGTAAAAGTATTATAGTTATATATTATAGTATTATAGTTCATGCATGGACAACCAAAAAAACGTTCATAAATTCCTCTCAGTCTCAGTCAGAATTAACGACTGGAAATAATCATTTGAGTCAGGAAACTGTATCTGCTACTAATATTAATATGTTCAAAGCTGGTCTCAAACACGACTGGATTGCAGACCTAAACAAAAACATATATTTTTATGACTTTTCATATTAACTGTTACAAATAAAAGCAGGTTCTTGTACCTTTGTTTGTAAAAACAAATTATTACTCAAGCAGTGTGATGTACTGAAGAATTTGTGCCAGTCTCAACACTTTTATTGGACGATTATTTGTCTGGAAATTATTATAATACAAATTTAATGTAATAAGCAATTAGTTTACTGTCATCATGCGAATGACCTGCTAGGAAATATTGCAATTTACATTGCTGTTTTGCTAACAGCATTGCTGTACATCATGTTCCATTATCAGTGCCTTTTATGACACTAAACTTGTGCAAATCACTGGTTCACTTGACTTCTTGAATTGGAGAAATACACTACATGAACACACAGATTACATATTCGAGTAAAAGCAAAAAAACTGTTTGCCAGAAACATGTAATTGATTAAGTAATAAATGCACAAAGGCTATTTCCGTCTCGCAACAGGGAAATTATCATTTCTCGCTTTTCCTTAGTTGTTCACATATTGTCGTTTATTATTCAGCCAGACGGTAATAAGCAATGCAATTATGTACTTTACAGCATGTATATTTAGTCTGTATGCAAGAGTAAACTATGATGAGATAGCACTTTCAGTGTGGGGTAAATACCATGGAATACTTTATTTTCGCTGGAATTAATTTTTGCTGAAAAGGCTTTTTGGGCATTTTTTATGGAATTTATTTTCACTGATTTTTGAATGAGTTGAATGTGAAATATAGAAAAAAAAGTATATTCGCTGGATTTTATTTTCACAGAATCATCCCTTCAGTGAAAATAGCAAAAATAAATTCCTAGCGAAAATAAAGTATTCTACAGTAATTTAGCTTGCACATGTGGGTTTGGTATGCATATGCAACAATTTGAGAAAAAGGAAAAAAAATCTACATGATCTGCTATTTGAAAAATAAATTAACTTTAACAAGCCGATCTAATTTCAGGTCAAAATGCTCATTTTGCCGAGTGTGTTTGCATTTGACCACTTGGCTGTCTCTGAAGTGATAATGGCATGTATCAGGGTGTGGGAAATTGTGGCGTCTTAGTCTTGGGATATTTTGTTGCAATATTTTGTTTAAGCTTGATTAATTGATAAGCAATACTGCTCTATGTATAGCAATGTTGTAAATTGCAACATTGCCTATCAGATTATTCTCACAATGGCAGTAAGTTTGTTGGTAATGGAAAGTATAAAGCATGTGCAATCTGATCACACTGTTTCAAGGGTAAATAAATTTTCTATTTTCCAGGTGTTTCAAACGTTGGTCATTACTTAGGAAAAAAAAAATCATTGGTTTGTTATAAAATTCAAGTAAAACTCAACTTGGTTTCGTTGTTAGTAAATGTTTTTAGTTATACACTGCCGCACTACAATGTATATGCAAAAGAATATTGGCCTGTACGATCTTTTGGCATTGCTTCCAGTGAAAAATCTTCCTCATGATTTTTCCTTTCCAAACAGAAAATTAGTAATTTTTGGAAAATGTACTGAGCATTAAAAAAGTATTTACCTAACACTCATTGTGATTACAGCTCATTGTAAAAAACAAATATTACCTATTCAGCTAGTTACAGTAAACAGTGTATTCTTTATTAGGCATCATTGAATACGAAAAATATTTTTAGGTGCCACGAAAGATTGAAATGTGTTGTTCAAAAATGACAACAAAATTGAAAGACTTTAAATACCATTCTTACCACTTAAAATGTGAGGTCAGATAAATTTGAAAGTGTGCAGTGGCTGTGGCTTGTACGCTACATGCACAGCCACAATTATATAATAATCTTTCTACGTGTGTCTGTGTGTGATGTGCTTTATGTATCAGTACATGTAGCTTGTTATTTCAGTTTGATGTTCTTGATCTTTCAACTAAAGAAATTTTCTTGATATGTTTCTTTTGCAGTAAAAACAATGGCATCACATTTTAGAGACAGTTCCCCTTTGGACTGCAAAGTATACGTGGGAGATCTTGGTACAAATGGCACAAAACATGAGATAGAAAGGGCTTTTAGTTACTATGGCCCATTACGCAATGTCTGGGTTGCAAGGAACCCGCCTGGTTTTGCATTTGTGGAGTTTGAAGACCCAAGAGATGCAAGTGATGCTTGTAGAGGCTTAGATAAAACGTGAGGTTTTTACTACTCGTGTCTGTGATATTTGTGGTTTTGGATAGAAATGAGCAATAAAAATATGGCAAGCCAAGTTTGCAATATTATCATTATTTGTGATGAAATCTTTTAACTAAGAAATTTAGTTCAGAAGTACAAAGTCTTGGTGCTGTTTGTGATCAGTAGACATTGCAAGTCCAAACTGAAGATTATTCCCATCAATTAAAATATACTTTGAGTAAAAATATATTAGTTTGTGGAAAAATCACTGCCAACTCCTCTTGGAATTCATTCTCATCACGCATTGGTCATTGTTGACTATTTGCATTCTGAAGCATAACGACACAAATCTTATCGTATTATTGCATGGACAAGCAAAGTTTAGAGCACAAAATTAGTCAACTATTGCTGTGAAACGATAAAAGTGATTTATCTATTTTCAACAATGAACTTGCCAGCACAATCAATCAATGTTAACACGTTTAGACCTCTATCCTGTTATTTTGCCATATCAACTCCAGAGGGAATCATGTATACCATAAAAGCAGAGCCCTTAAGTGACACATTAAAATAGATCATTGCTTCTTTCTGCAATTGTTTGAAGCAGTTTCTTTTCACACATAATCCACCCTTTTCTTTGGAATGTCAATTGTTGAGCTCATCAGGGATAGCTTTGAAAAAGTACCATAAGGGACCAATGACTTGTTTTTTTTGTGTGGACAGATAGAAACTCTATACTGGGGGATTTGGTTAGGAATTACGATGTGGCTACTAGTAATTATAAAATTTTAATGGTATTTTAAACAAATGTTTTTTTTGTATCCTTGTAGCAAATTATGTGGCGTTGAGATTCGAGCTGAACTCTCCTCTGGCAAAAGCCGATGGGCAAAGTGGGGTCGTCCACCACCACGCCGATCATTCTCTGAGGAACGTTGCTACGAATGTGGCAAACGTGGACACTTTGCCAGAGATTGTTACTATGCCCGAGGAGGAGGTGGTGGTGGTAGTGGTAGCGGGGGTGGGGGTGGTCCTCCTTATGGGAGAAGCCGTGGATATAGTAGTAGAAGACGATCAAGGTATGTGTATGTGTATTTTATCTCATGCATGTATTGATGGATTCTCTTTTGAAATCCTGTGTTGTATGAAGAAACGGTAGTAGAATATGTTGGGGGAGGGGGTCCGGGTATAGGCACACTTGATAAGATTGCTGGCATGCATGCACAAAGTGTATTACATTTTATGTACTCTGTGACATTTCATTGCTGTTTTGGTCTATTCACATGCAGTAATTGCAATGCGAGGGGTGATGTCATTTATTTTGTTTCTTGTCTATAATCGGCATAATTATTATGAGAGTTACAGAGATGTCTGTTGATTCGAAATTCAAATATTTGACCATTTCAAACAACTTAAGTATTTCATATTATTAATTTTGTTGCATCAACCACTCTGTGTGGTAAAAATATGAATATAAAAAAATGGTGTCTGTTTCACAAGAAAGGAAGTTCCATGTTTTTGCTGATTACATCTTAATGCAAAATGGGTTAAATAAACATGTATAGGGTGATTATTTTTGCTTTACTATGATACAGAGTTCTCTCCAGGGCATTGTAGAGTAGTTGTTTCCAACTCTCACTTGAACCCATTTAGCATAACATTAGATACAATGAGGGGATTAACATATTTCATTGTTATGTAAATTATCTGTTTTTCTGTAATATGTGCCTTCTTGCAACTTAATTTAATTAATCAAGTAAAACAGATTAGGCACTACCAGTAGTCAAAACAATCTAGTAATAGTATTTTGTGACACCGATTGTCTTGTTTTAGCTTGAAGTGATGAGACTTTATTTCTTGTGAAACAGACATACGTTCACCCCACTGAAGTGTTGTAATTTTGAGAACCAGCGAAAGTAATATATTGTGACTTTGGACCTTGGATCATCCACAAATTTCTTTCAATTTTGGGTGTGTGTAAATGGTGGTCTTTAACTGTATCATATCAGTCTCACCTTACTGTACTATTTTGGTTAGAATTATTTGTAAATATTAGTCATTTCAGCAGAACTAAAAATGTTTATGCACTTCTGTAACAGATCTTAAGAATGTTTGAGTTTTCAATATTGTAAATCAACTGTAGATTAGATTTTAACAAAATGGAATGAAATACAATTCATTGCGCATATGTAATGAATTCATTCATAGCAAGTCAGTCTCCATGTTAAATATGCACTCATGGTAACGCCATTCCAGCAGCAAGTCTATTCGCTCTCCATCCTTCACCATTATTTCTATAATGTTGCTAACTGTATAAGCAAAGTTATAAACTTACCACAGAAGGGCATCAACGTTTGAAACAAAAATTTCTTTTTCAGTTCTGTTGAAATGACAGTAATATTTGTACAGTAGTTTTTATTGTCCAGTGGATAAGTTTTTGTTGAAGCAAACCTCTAAAATCAATGAGGATCGGTGTTAACATTTTGATGCATGTGTATCTTTGAATGCTATTTGTTTTACAAATTATTAACTAAGTTAACCCCCCATTATTTCAGGCAAATGTGTTCTGCATTTAGTCGACTAGCGTCTTGTTTTATCAACATGTGTTCAGCATGTGATCATCATGTGCGGATCATGTGATCACTGTGTGGGAAACCTGAGTTCAGCTCAGCCAACCCTGTCAACCATTGGCCCAGGGAGTCACTGACATCATGCTTGGAGCGTAACACTTTTCCAAAATGTTCAGCTGGTCAACAGCAGAGGGTTGTCATGGAAATTCACCATTTTGAGTCAGCCTTCTAATAGTTGCTTCATCTGTCACCACACTGAGCCCTGCGATATAATGTTTCGGTCAGCGCCAAAGTGTTCAGCCATGGGTTGACCTGTACAGCAACATGTGTGGTTTTCATCTCAATCATATAACAAAGGTTGAGTCTGTCAAATAGATTTGTTAATTCTTCTTAGCTTTTGTGGCTATTAAAGTTAAGCTCTATTTTTTTTATAACTACCATTTACACCATGTGTGATTAATGTAGCTCAATATTTCAAAAACAGTTAACAAATGTGGTAAAATTTCAGCGTAAAACCACTAACTGGAGATACGACTGTGAAATATCTATATGCAACACTCAACAATGAAAAAAAAGGCATTAAAAAAGTTTATTAAAGTCTTGTATATGTATGCGTAACTTTACCATTTGATACCAAATATTTAGGCCTTTTCTGTTTCCTTCAAGACTTCTTCTATTCATGTGCTTAACTTTTTAAATCTGCTTTTCAGATCTCGTTCTCGATCCCGATCGCCATATAGGAGGAATCACAGTCGGAGCAGAAGTCGTAGCAGAAGCCGTAGCCCAAGTCGGTATGTGCCAAGCTATACAGTATACCGGTACATATAATTGACAGCATGACACAAATTCAGAGATTTGTAACAAACTGATTACATGTTTATTTTTTTACAGTGATTGAAGTCCTGGAAAATAAAGAACCATGTTAGCACCATTTTCACTTAAATGGGATGGTCACTAGACAAAACAAAAAAAATGTTGTTTTTATTGGTGTTCAAGAACAAGTTTATGCTCTATTAGAAGTGCATTGAGAATGATGTGTGTACTCAAAATTGAGCAAAATCTAATTTTGTTGTTTCGCATAAACTTTCTGTTAGAGATGTGTTTTTAATGGAGCAAATCCAGTACTGTAAATTCTTGCCTGTGGGATTTTTTGACATTTCATCAATCAAGGTTGTTCGTAGTGTATAATATGCTGAATGTCACAAAAATCGCTTATTCTGTCAAGAGTACTGCACAGAAATTTCCAGTGTATTAAAATTTCACAACTTTCCCTGACTTGTCTACAGTATTTGTCTTAAAACCATTGTATATTCTCAAGCTATTATTGTCATGGATACTTAATTTACTGTAGTCACATTGTTAGCACTGCCTTTAAAGACAATTATCAGTCACTAAAAATCTGAAAGTTACGTGTATTAGTAGGAATTTTCCAAGTAACATTACATAATTTTAAGTTTTAACATGCCTGTTATAATTCAGGATGTATTTTAAAAGATAACTATTTTTTTTCTAACACTACACTTTGTTGTATACTTTGAAGTATTGTATGTATGAATTACGAATTCATTAGGGTATTATTCAAAGTCGTTAAATATTTCATATCCTTTGTTGTACTTGTCAATACATTTTATTTTGTTTACAATGTTTTGTCTTATCTGGAATAAATATACACATAGTAAATATAGTCTTTTGATATATCCACCCCCCCCCCCCCCCACTCAATTTCTTTGTCATACAAATATCACTGTCATGGCAGTTAATCTTGTAAAATTTGGAACATTATTGAATGCAAAAGAGACATTGAAGACATTCAACTGTGCGACATTCAAAGCTCTACCTTCTGTGGTTGGACGTAAGTTAAAATGCCACTCCTGGCCAAGATTTTTCAATAAGGTAGTTGAGGAACTCTTTAAGCTCCAGACAATTTTCTCTAGTTTTATTTTACTGTGTGTGTGTGAATGCAATTGTGGTAGTTTACAACCTCCGTATTTGGTAAAGTAAACAATCCTAATATTAATGAATATGTGGTGGTTTGCAATCTGTGTGTATACAAGTGTGTTGTTTTTTTTTTTAGATATTTTTTGTGCCAGGCGACAGTTCCGGACTGTTGTCTCTCCTGACTTTTTTTTTGTATGTTCAAATTGCAAGTGCTATTGACGACACCTAGTGCATTTTGCCACAGAAGTCGTATTCATGTTTGGGACTACATGACAGGGCTGTGTGGCCATCTCTCGGTCAAATGGCAATTTGTAATGCCCTATCCTGGCGTCAACCAGGCCCGGTCGAACACAAGCACCTGCAGACCTTAACCAAGGTTCCCCCAAAGTCGCATTCGTTAGTGAATGAATCTCGGCCAGTGGAATTGGCCTTTCCATTGAGTCTGTGGTACACTCACCCAGGGTAAGGGTTGACCCTTTTGGTTTGAACTTGGGTCTACCGATCATGAGTCTGATGCAACAACCACTATGCTACCAGTGACCGGCAAGTGTGCTGTTTACAATCGCCATATGAATATGTGGTGAATTGCAATCTGTATACGATTTTGCTGTTCAGAATCTCCATATGAATATGTGGTGATTTTCAATCTGTATACAAGTGCTGTTCACAATCTCCTTATGAATATGTGGTGGGTTGCAGTCTGTATGTATACAAGTGTGCTGTTTACAATCTCCATACGAATATGTGGTGATTTGCAATCTGTATGTATACAAGTGTGCTGTTCACAATCTTCATACGAATATGTGGTAATTTGCAATCTGTATGTATACAAATGTGCTGTTCACAATCTCCATACGAATATGTGGTGATTTGCAATCTGTATGTATACAAATGTG